AATTCGAGGCCCTGAGGGGGGGATTGCTTAGGGTTCGGAGGTTGGCGTGGGTTTCAATGGGGTTGGAGGTAAGATTGAAATTGCCGTCGTTTATTATTATTATTATTATTAATTAAAAACAATTGGATTTTGCTTTGCTGGGCATTTGAGGTTTTTTATTGCCTTTATGGGGGATGTTCGTTTGGCGGATTTGTAGCGTAAAAGGGGGGATTTGATAGCTAAAGAGCGAATTCTTGGAAGGGGATAATTTGTTCCTAGTAAGGAAATTTCTATGGTTGAGCAAGATTGATGTGGAGATTTCGAGTATTTTTGTTTACTATTTATGGGTTTGGTTGTGTAGTTACTTTAATACTTTAGTTTGCAGATTCTCTCGTATTGGGCTTTAACATTCACTGTTTAGTGCTTAAAAGTATGCGTTTGTGTTTTCTTAAAAAAATAATTTATATATGCTCGCATATTTTGTTTTCAGGAACACTGTGTAGAATTATGCAGGGATCTGAGACTGGAAACTCCACCTGCAAATGAGAAATGGGGCTTGCAAAATGCCGAAGTCATCTGAGCTTTCTATTGTCTTCTAGAGCTTCTTCAATGGTGCTTGATTGGTGGATTCGTCTTGGTCCTGAATAAAAAACATGCAGAGTTTTGGTGCCGAGGAAGAAGAAGATGTCTTCTTTGACTCTTTTGATTGGACTCCTGTAGATTCTTCACCGTCTGGCAGCACTGTGGACGAAGAGGAAGAGGCTGGATTCGGAAAACTCGATTCGGAAATTTGGAAAAAGGATGTGATGAGTGTCCGTGAGAGGAGGAAGAGATTTTTAGTTGGTATGGGTTTGGACGAGTTTGTCTTGTCTCCATTGGGTGGCTCGTCAGGGTCGGAAGAGTGTAATCAGCCCTTAGAGAATAAGGGGCTGGAAAGACTTACAGAAAGCAGTGGTGCTGTCTCGAATTCCTTGTCTTCTTCTTGTGATGACGAGGGGCCGAAGGACTCTGTTTGTTGTATAAGGGACTTGGACAGCGGAAAGAAATTCGTCATTCATGACCTCGGTCAAGATGGTTTGTTTAGCATGCTCAAAGAGGTCGGCTCGAACAAACTGATTTCCTTGCAAGAGTTTGAATCAGTGCTTGGTCTTTCTTGCTTTGTTCAGAAATTCATGAGGAAAGAAGTTGCTCATCCGGGAGAAAAGGTAGATGCTGGCCTTAATGGAAGGATAGAGAAGCCGAAAAAGTGGTGGAAAAGGTATATACCGAAGAGGCTTTTGGCCGGAATTTGTAAGAATGATGTTTCCGTTAAAAGTTCCAAATTGCCCAGGTCCATCAGAGCGAAAGTTCTTCGGCATAAGAAGAAGTGCTTGGAGTTCACAGCACTCTACATGGGGCAAGAAATTCGAGCGCACAAGGGCGCGATTAGGACTATGAAATTTAGTACTTCTGGGTGTTATCTAGCAAGTGGAGGCGAAGATTGTGTCGTACGCATTTGGCAGGTTATTGAAGCAGAAGCCTCTTGCAAATGTTCTATTGAAAATGGTTCCTGTGATTTTGTTGATAAAATCAAAGATACAAAGTCGATGCTTGGTATGAAGGGTATAGATGCTGCCCCAATTGTCATTCCGAAGAAGGTTTTCATGATTGATGAGATTCCACTACAAGAATTTCATGGGCATACAAGTGATGTGTTGGACCTCTCATGGTCAAATACTGATGTGAGTAACTCAAGCAGCCTATTTCTCATACATTAGATACATATTATAAGTACGAAACTGTACATTTATTTGACAACTTCTGTTGGTTTCAGACCCAACATTACCATGTTTTAAATTTTCGAATGCATGTATTTGTCCATTACATAGTTACTTATACTTACCATGCCCTTTTAGCTAATTCCTTTTGCGTTGAACTATATACATGTATCTAACTAGTTTGTTTATTTTAAAATTAAAGCTAGGAAAAACAGTCAAGAAACCCTTCTTCCTTGCCTTTTCTGGTTGCATTTAAATCATCCATATCTTATGCCTATGTTTGAAATTATGTTTGCAGTGTTTGCTTACATCATCCATGGACAAAACTGTGCGCCTTTGGAAAGTCGGTTGCGATGGATGCCTTAAAGTTTTTCATCACAATGATTATGGTAATTTGAGAACTCAGGGTGACTTTACATTGGATTATTTATGCTGAACTTGCCTTTTAAATTTGCATCAAGTGGAACTTCAACTTAAGTGCTATAGGCCCACCATTAGCTGTTGCACTGTATTAGTCATAATACAAGCTAATGAGCTAACATGTAAGGGCCTTTTCTCCAAGGTCTCTGTTGTGCATATAAGAAAGTAGTTGCATGAGGTTTGACTTTTAATTACTCGACACCAAATTTATAGTTTTGTAGACGAATCACTTTATCTTGCGCTGTACTGGCTACCAGTTATATTTAAGCTAAACTATTCTCTTTAATTTTGTCCTTGTTTTTCTATGGCATACAGTGACATGCGTTCAGTTCAATCCTGTTGATGATGAATACTTCATCACTGGCTCCATTGATGGAAAAGTTCGCATCTGGGGTGTGACCGAGAATCATGTAGTCAATTGGGCTGATATACGAGATATTGTGACTTCTGTATGTTACCGCCCTGATGGAGAGGTTTTCCTCAGACCCAATTTCTGTCATGTTTTTGTCCGTACTTTGAAACGGGCTTATTACATTACAGTAGCTAGTTCAAAATGCTTGTTTTACATTATGATAACTATCTATATTTCTTATATATTTTTTACAGGGATTTGTTGTTGGTTCTGTCACGGGAAATTGCCGCCTCTATAACTACTCAGGTAGAATTTCTTAATGAAGCTCTTAACTTTACCTGGTGTAATTGGTTCCATTCAATGAGTATCCTAGTCTTCTTTCTTTTCTGTCACCAATTATATTTATTACTTGTATGTCTAAGTGAGTGAGCATCTCATTTATGTTTTTAGCATCTTTTGGATAGGTATAGGTAACACAATGCGGTTGGAATCACAATTTTGCATTCAAGGTAGGAAGAAGTCTTCTGGAAAACCAATTACTGGCCTACAGGTTCGATATATGAAACTATATAGATTACATATGAGATTTTGGTATAGCACTTGTTTCTATTGAAATTTTTACGGTTCTCTGCAGTTCTCCCCAGAAGATTCTCAAAGGGTTATGATCACATCAGCAGACTCCAGAGTTCGGATTTTTGACGGGGTCGATGTCATTCACAAATTCAGAGGTGGAGCTTGTCTGACTTTCAGCTTCTGTAAAGTTTAGGTTGGAATTTACTAAAATTGTAGTACTGCATAATACGTGGTATAGCACATAGACGAATTCTTTTGGAATTATGCGAATTTGGCATCTAGAGGATTGCATCCAATAGAAATATGCACATAGCACCATCTTTAGTTTCAGAAATAAGAATTTAATTGAACCCAAAAAAAGAACTAGTTTCAGAAATAAGAATTTAATCGAACCCAAAAAAGAATGGGAATGATGTTTCTTTTGAAAACTCTAGTTCACACAGTATAATAGTGTATGTAACCAGATAGGAAAGTGTTGGGAGTAGTAGAGATATTCCTTTAAATGGTGGGAGACTGAGGTTTAGGGTTTGTTTAAGTTTATCCTTGTAAATACTTAATTAATTCTCTGCCTTCTTATCCGCATACAAATAGTTGCTCATGAAGAAGTAGAATATAGTAGGAAACTGAATATGACCTCTCTCTGATATATTTTACTAGTTTGCGGTCGGTGCAAAGCACGGTATTTTTTTTTGCTACAGTAATCCCACTTTTAATAAGGAATGATCCGAATTTTTAAAAGTGCTACAGTATCCCGTCCTGCTACAGTACCTTTTAAATGCTACAGTATACCCGTGTGCTACAGTAATGTTTTTAATTAATTATTTGTTGCAGTAATAATGCTATAGTAAATACTACTGTAACATTTACTGCAGCATGAACAGTGAATCTCTGATCCTTCTATTTGTATAAAGGAATAGATTTTTAATACGGCATGATTTGAATTTTTAAAAGTGCTACAGTATCCCGTTCTGCTACAGTACCTTTTAAATGCTACAGTATACCCGTGTGCTACAGTATTGTTTTTAATTAATTATTAGCTGCAGTAATAATTCTATGTTAAATATTACTGTAGCATTTACTGTAGTATGAACAGTGAATCGCTGATCCTCCTATTTGTATAAAGGAATAGATTTACACTTTCAATAGAAAATTGTGACCACTTCTACTCCAGTACTCGTGCATGAATTAGGCTTGATATGGCAGGGACCTTGATGCAATAAAAGCTACTTATGACTTTTACAAAATATAATTCTTGCCTGATGAGAGAGTGGCAGTTTTACGGCAATACTTTTCTCAATTAACTTTGATCTAGCACTTGGCTTGATCATACAACATTGGTGCCATCTAATCCAAGAAATCAAATACAAAATAGAAATTCTTTACTGCATCTATTTTTCACTCACTTTGTCACTATGAGAAGCAAAACGAGTTAATTTTATGCCAAGGCAAACATGTTGAATTTGGGAAGTAGTAAGACAAATGCAACCATGTAGTGTTCATAGTCGTGAATCAACACCCAAGTTTTTTCTCCTCAACAAGCAACTTTGTATCCTCTAAAAGCTAAATACAAGTCCATTCAATAGATATAATAGTTTAACAAACATATCAACTTTTCACCAAAAAAAAAAGATGCAATCATCAATATATCAAATATACGATGCCAGTGAGTTCTAGCACATGTAGGCTATTTCTCATGTTATAGAAGATAATTTATTATGATGCATTATGTAATACGTACCTATTTTTGATTCCGAGTATCTGTACAGAGTAATAATGTATGTGTTAATATATACATAAATGCTGATCTAGATTAGTTCTTCTGCTGACATATACCTAGCAAAAATGTCATTATTACCAAATATGCATTTTATTTTTCAAATAACAATGTAAGGAATTTGATGATTGAGACTCTAGGTACTATCAGGCTAAAATAATAGGTTAGTTACTATCATGGTGAAACTAGTGTAACTGGGCATGATGGAGAAGTTGTAAAGAATGAAAAATGTCAAGGAGAAACTATAGGTTCTTTGCTCCTACCGAATTTAAAAGAAAACCTTAAATCTTCTTTACTGACACCTATTTGAATGTGCCGAAATCTTCAGGTTGTATTATTTCGTCCTGGTGAAATATCTATAATCTCAGAAACAAGAGTTTTACTGGTAAAATTTATAAATTATTGAGCTATATTGAAGAAAAGAAATAAAACAATGTTTTTTTTAAACGAATCATGCACCTTCCTTGTTCTTTTCTTTGTAGTCTTTCGTTCCAACACCCTTTTGGTGTCTGTTAATTAGATGAGTGGCAGTATTTACAAATCTCAAATGAATATATGGTTTTTATCTATGCTTCTGGAATAAACCGTATTTTCTAATATGTGGAACTATAGTTCAAATCAGTGTATGCAAAGTATATTTGTAAATTAGTCACATTTATATTGGTTTTGATTCAAATTCACTTTCAAATTCACTAGTCCTTTTCCTGCATTGCTTCTGTTATAACTGCATCATTGCTGTTCTGATAATAATCAGCATTGTACAACTTGATATGCTGCTGGTTTTTTAGCCATAGAAACCTTAAAAGTCAGTTCAGAATTGACAAACATATTTATTTCTGATTTACTGAAAATCTTCCGATTCTCTTAAATCTAACGTGTGCTGCATATAGTTCAGGTCTACGGAAAAGCAAGAGCCAGCTATCAGCATCATTCACTTCGGATGGAAGATACATTGTCTCTGTAGGCGAGGACTCCAATGTGTACATATGGAACTATGATCTCTCTGGCAGACAACAATCATCCAAAGTAACAAAGTCACTGAAATCACTAAAGTCAATTCGATCATGTGAACTCTTCTCTTCTGAAGGTTTATCACTAGCAGTGCCTTGGCCAGGCATAAACCACAGGGACTCAGACTCAAACAACCACCACCTTCATCTCCCCTCTCAACCCGCCAAGATTCTAGAGCCTTCGACTTGGCTCTGGGACTCAGACTTCTGTTCTCTTGGTGCATGGCTCTTTGCCGACGGCATATCCAAGGGATCTGCTACATGGCCAGAGGAGAAACTTGTAGCCTCTCATCGAAATTCTCTGGAGGTTAGAGATCATCACCATATGCATCACCGGTATCAGCACCTCACGCATCTCTCAGCCACATGGAGCTTGGTTATTGTAACAGCTAGTTGCGATGGAACCATCAGGTCTTTCCACAACTATGGATTGCCTGTTAGGCTCTAAAACGAAGAGGCGAGAAAGGCTGAGAATGGTGTAGAATAAGCGAAATGCTCGTTCTTCGATGTTACTCGTGTACAGAGGGCTGGATGCCGGTGGCTGTCGGGTGATCTTGATTCTTGCTCCTTCGCTATTTGGGTTTTTCATTCTTCAAACCTGTAATAGTTGAATTAAGTTTGCGATGTATGGAGCATAGAGGATAGTGGCGTAGGGAACGGAGGAAGATGAATAAAGAGGCGTATAGAGAAGAGAATAGATAGAAATCTAGGAATTTTGTAGCTCTTTCCATATATCCACCTCTCCAAATGTCAAAAAAGTGTTTAGTTGAAAAGAGCAGCCATTGGATGCAAAAATGGCAATTTGCGATATTGTCCTATTTTGTTTATTCTATCATCAAATCTACACGGATCCTTGTCAATGGTGATCAATTTTTGAACTAATCCAGCGGTCCGCTCACAGGAGAAAGATTGTCTGCGTATAAGCGCAGATTCCTTGTAATTTATGACTTGCTGCGCTCCTATCAACGGTGGGCATTTGGTCTAGTGGTATGATTCTCGCTTAGGGTGCGAGAGGTCCCGAGTTCAATTCTCGGAATGCCCCCCCTCTCTTTATATTTTTTTGTGTTCTCATCTAGTTTTTTAAAGGCTAATTAGCACTTACGTGCCTTTTAGTTTCCCCTACTGTTCAATTATCCTATACCCCGAACGTTATCGCCTTTAATTTTTGTTAAAAATATTTATTCATTCTAGTCAAGAAAACTAGAATAGCTTTAAAATAGTTTTTTTTTCCTTGATAAAAGGTGGGCAGAATTAAAAAAAAAGTATATTAATGAATATGAAATAAATTAAATAATTTTAACTACGATTTAGAACATTTTTACTTTAATCTTGTTCACTTATCCTATACCCTGACGTTATCACCTTTAATTTTTTGTTAAATTTATTCTAATTTTAAGTTAAGAAAACTTGAATAAGTTTAAAAAAAATAGGATTTTTAAAATAAAAGGCAAGCAGAATTAAGATAAGTTTAATAATAAATTTTAAAGAAATTAAATAATAAAATTTGAACAATTTTAACTGCAAGTGACAATTTAGAGCATTTAAACTTTAATCTTGGTCAATTTTTTACTAAATATATTCTAATTCTGAGATAAAATAGAACATGAATATGCTTTAAAATAGAATTAAGATGGGTCTATTATAAATAAAAATTAAGGGTTAATCTAGACCTAGCGTGTGCATAACATTGAAATTTTCGGAGAAATATTATCATGTTGAAGGTATTAAAATACATTTCAAAAATTTTAGGATATTTAAGTTGAAAATTGCAAATTGTGCTATAAGAGTAATACTACAACTGGACGCTAAAAAGTTGGGTCCATAGCCTTATAACGTCTCCTTCCAATTTATTTAACAAGAAAATATCTAACTTTTTGTGTGTACTGGTATGTGTTATATCATACGAGTAACTAAATGTTAGTCTTTAACGAGGAGCCGACACGCCTCCCACCTTAAGTACCCAATCAGTCATATTATGGAAAAGGTGATCCGAGCGGCTTCAACACTCTACTCTTTCTAAACCAGGGCCGAATCGAAAGGTGTCCTCACTCGACTCACCATTCGAGTCTACCCCACTTTTCTGCACTCCACAAGGCCCGAGTCGACAACCTTCGAGGCTAACTAACTAAAAAGGCGGTATTTATCGTTCCACTCGCAAGAGGCATCACTTGTCGATCATCTCGGAGAGACGAGTCGAAAGGCAGTGTATCCTCGAGCCCCCCGCCGACGGTCGATTTACCATCACATTAAATGCATGATCAGAGTCATCATTTCTCCAGCCCCGAAAGTCTTATGACTCATCGGATCTCGCCTGCACCACTCACACTCAGTCACCCTCACATTAAACGCCTAGGTAACTCATCCACATATATAGCCGACACTTGTAAATTAGATGATGACTGAGTCGCCTGCTTGGACTCGGCCGAAGTTGCTTATCTACCCCTTGGATTTGCAATAAAAGGAAACTACTGTCTATTGCCGAGGGATGGAATTCACTGCTCTGAGCCTAACTTCCTAAAAAAGATTGAGGACCCTAACACCCCACATAATCCCCACATAATTCCCTGTTAGATTACTGACATCAACAGTATGGGAATAATATAGCTCTTGCGTAAAGTTATCACTACTCATATTGATATAAGTGTGCTCAAAAAACAAGTGAGGGTATATATGTATAAAGTAGGGAAAACTATATGTATTTAAGTGCTAATTTACATTTTTTTAAAAGAAAAGCTCCCAAGAACCTCAGATTATATTTTTACTTTCTTTCAAAGGGTCCCCAAAAAAATTATCTCGCAGGAATCTGAGCAAGACAAGAAAATTCACGGGGGGGAAAAAATAACTGCAACAAACGAATAGGATATCCTCTTTTGAAGCCATCTCTTCTTCAATATCTGTTCCATGGCTTTCTATTCCTCTGCTGCAACTCTACCTCTCTCTTCCTCTAATGCCCTTCTCTCTCCTCTCTCTTCCTCTTCCTCTCTTTCTCTCTCTAGATTCAAATCTCCATTGATGTTCCCTCCCAAAATCACACCTTTTCCTCTCTCTGTTGTTAACTGCTCCTCCTCCAACAGTCCTTATGACGGCCCACTTCCTGATTCATCCAATTTCAGGTATGCTCTTCAAAAAAATTAATTTTTTTGAATTATCTTGTTTAATTTAGGCGACCCAAATGGTTGGTGTTGATGGGTCTTTTTGTTTGTGGTTTAATTTGGGGAATAAGTAGAGTCTAGATTTCTTTTTTCAAAAATTTTCCCCCAATAATATTCTTTGATTTAGGTGACCCAAATGGTTACTGTTAATAGGTCTTTTTGTTTGTTTTTAAATTGGGGAATATGTGGAGAATAGTTTGATTTTTGTGTTGGGTCTTTAGCCTAAATGACTAAACCCCTGAACAAAAAGGGAATGCTTGGTTGTATGCAATTATTATCATGGAAGTGTACCTTTTTAAGTTCCTATATGATGTTATGCGCATTGGTTGATCGTGTTCGAGGTTATTGATTGCCAAAAATTTGAAGAGTATGTTTTCGTTCTATTAACTCGTACGAAAAATATAACATTAAAATTTGCACATTTTATATGGTTACTTGGGTTTTTAAGTAAAGGAAATGGGAGGAAAGGCATAGTGATAGTAAATAAAAAAATATCACTAGGTGTTATGCGGAGAACATTCCTTAGTGAGATTGTAACTCAGTTCCACAAAGAAAACATTTGGTGAAAAGGGAATATGTGCTTAGTTTTCACTTTTATTATGAAATGATTGGTTGTAAATTAATGTTAAACAGACAGAGAGGAATCTATTAGGTGCTTATCTACTTCATGATAAGAAAGTGAAAAAAAGTGTTTTTGGGTGGTAGCCCATGGCTGTTAATCTAATGGATTGTGTTCTGGAATGCTCGAATCTTTATCTATGTGAACTTTTTACTTGACTCGCTATCGGTTGATGATCATATTGGATTTCTTAATTGAGCTTTGATGCTGAATGCCAGTGAAGAATTCTCATGACATGAAGTTCACCTACTTTCAGTTTCTTTAGCTATTTCGATCTGGTACTTTGCTATCTATTTGGCATTATTTATAAGCGATGAGATGTAAAAATGTATGGGTTTGTCATTTAGGTTGTGTATAAGTTTCTTGAATCTTTTTTTTACAGGCCTCAAATGACTCCTTTTGGCCTAATCAGTGGCGAAGATTCAAGGCATAAGCCATCATATAAATGGCGAAGGGTTCTACTGAAAGTAAGTGGTGAAGCACTTGCTGGAGACAACAGACAAAATATTGATCCAAAGGTGGGGCTATAGTTTTTCGCTACCGAATTCTTCAATTTCCTTACATTTTATTCGAGAAGTTTTCTGCCCCTCATATTGTGCAAACTTGAGGCACATCCTAGTCGTTTTCTCGTGTATTTGGTCAGTAATATATATGCGTTGATGAAGCTTTTTGACTTGTTTGCTACCATATACATTGCTTCCTAGTAATTCGTGGTGACATATGGTGAATTATTTATTATGCAGATTACTATGTCCATTGCAAGGGAAGTGGCTTCTGTAACTCGATTTGGTGTAGAGGTGTGACTATCTAGCTACTTCTGCATTATTATGTGCTTTTTAATTGAATACGGCATTTAATGGTTGCTATATCTTTAATATCAGCATTTTATTGACTATTATTGATCTTCCGATGGTACTTTTTTCTTATTTAAATCAAACCTAACCTGTTTCTTTTTTTCAGGTAGCTATAGTGGTAGGAGGGGGTAACATCTTTCGCGGAGCCTCCTGGGCTGGGTGCAGTGGTCTTGATCGTTCTTCTGCAGATTACATTGGGTATGTGAACTCACATATTATATAAACGGCTTTATTTAAATCCCTTAATGCTTTATACCTTGTTTTTCTTGTACGTCTTCTGCCATTATCGAGTCTCATTTATCCTAAAATCTAGAGAGGAAAAGAAATAACCACAGATCAATTTTGTTAGACAATAAAGTATATGCATATATGATGTGTTGGTGATGATTTTTGTCGCTACCAGTGCAAACATATGTGAGAGATTTATGTGTGAACATGTGTGAAGAATAATAATAAATCATTTACATCTGGACTGATCAACATGCTTTGTGATGCTAAAGCCAAGTATAAAAAATTTCTTGGCTCTATGGGAAGTCAGCGGGAACTTATTTTTGGAGTTATGTTAATCACATCTGGACTGGCTAACCACCCAATTATTGATATTCCTCATATGAAATTTATGATATAACAATTATTTATTGATTTTTTTCCTATTGGTGCTCCACTTGGTCTATTATGTGTGTTTGATTTGACAAACTTGAGGCTGAGTTAACCACTGGCAATCTTTCATGAAATCTCATAGGCTTGTTTAGCAGATGTAAACTGAGGGGAGTAGTCGTAAGTGTACCAAAGTGCAACCCAAATCTTCGCCTATGTTTAAGATTTGGGATTATTGAGAGGGAACTGGAAGGTTCTAATTGCACTTTAATGGTTTTTTCTTCTTGCCCTGTAGAATTATTTCCATCTCTGACTTCCCATAGAGTGAGAAGGGAAGTTGGAGAATTTCATAAAGCTAGTATCTATTTTTGTCTCTATCCTTGATTTTTTTTGGGTTTAATTTTATTCTCTTTTCCTTTCCCTATCTTCCTCACCTCAGCAACGAAGAAGAGAAAGCAGGAGTTGGGAGAGAAAATTAAGTTCTTATTAGGGATTTTATGGAGATTAATCTGCGAAATTAAACACTAACCAATGAAAATACCATAAACAAGCAAACACCAAAATTTAACGTATATCGGCAAAACGTGCCTACGT